TCCCTCCCAAGTCAGGAAAAATAAAACTTTACTCATGACTGTCCCAGAACATAACGTCCATTCCGCAGTTTTATGGCATATCTGTGTGTACGGTCTCGCATGTCTGTGAACTTCAATTGATACACAACTGAACTTAGTTTTGTAGTGAAAACATGACGCATGCTCTTCTGTTTACACAAGCATTTTAATGGAAGTGAACGGAACACTAAATTGCGCGACCACACCTTAATTGAAGCCAGAGCATAATGCTGCAATCCCAACAGCCTTAAACGCATTATAATCTAATCTCTCTACAGTTTTCTTTAGAAAACAGAAATTATATTAAAGAAATAAATCTAAAAGGATACATTTAAATGCAAATGCTTGATCTGTGCTGCATTTAATTTGAAATTCCATTGTACTTCCATTGCACAACACTTCCATTTTGTAGCTTGAAATGAATTCACTACATAATCCATAATCTAAAGATGAATGTTCTCACCTAATAGCGGTACTTTGTTCTGAAGTAGCTCATAATAGCTGGTGGTGAGGATTCCCACTGGGTTGCTCGGCACAAATCGTCCTTCTTTGACCAGCCTCTCACACGTCCTCATGAGCGTCCCAGAGAACTGAGAGGGATCGACCCCATAGTCACGCCAGCCACCTACTCCATCAGCCACTCCTATAGGACACACAGTTAGGACCAAAACCATTAGAAAGCTGCATTTTCTAAATGATTAAACTGCAAAAATATCATCTATTTTGCATCTGTTTTGAATGTCGCTAATATTTTGCAGACTGTTCATAGAAAGAACTGGATACTTTTATTCAGCAGGGATTCATTAAATTGATCAAAAGTGACAGTAAAGACATTCAGAATGTTACAAAAGATTTATATATCAAATAAACGCCTTCACGCTTTCCACAAAAATTTGAAGCAGCACAACTGTTTTCAACATTAATATAATAAAAAATAATGATAAATAATACATAATGTTGTACTTAAGCTGAAAATTCAGCTTTGTATCACAGGATTACATTTTACAAAATATTACAATAGAAAACAGTTATTTTATGTGTAATAATATTTCACAATATTACTGTTTTTTTTACTGTATTTTTAATCAAATAAATGCAAATGTTGTGACACAATGTTACCATAATATAAAATAATTTCTACTGTGATTATATGATTTTGACCAACTAAATCTAGATCAGACTGAATTATTTAGTAAGATTTTGAGGTTAGCAAGAGGTAAAATGACTGTATCTGTACCCATCTTTCTGAAGGGAAAACCGGTTTACCCACAAAATAGAATTAGACTTTGAAAGATTCCCACCAATTTTTATGCAGAATAATATCATTTTTAAGCTGATATATATATAAAGCAAAATGCTTATGTTTAGTGGTAGAATCAACAATGGCAATCAATCAGCTATCTGTTCACTATTTTGACTTGCAATGTTCATAAAGTTTAATTTCATTTCAATTTTTAATTTAAATAGCAATTTTGTGCCCATTTGCCATCATAAGATTGTATTTTTATAGGCATAATATATGCATTCAGCCATTGGAAAAACCCATAATAATCAAACACAAAAGTAAATGAAATGATCTGCAAGATGCGCCGGTCTTGAAATTGAGAAGGCAAACGTTTACGGCCTACACCCCACAGATTTCATGTGCATATCCAAATCTGTCCACCAGACAGGGAATGTTCCCTACAAAGCCCTCCCAGCTTCCCATCTGACAGACAATGAGCAGGAACCCTCGTTTGTGACCATACAAGGCAAGTCCCCTCACATCGACCTGCATCCACTCTAAAAGCACCTCTAGGATTTCCACAGCTAGATTTTATGGCTTAAAGTTGCACAAAAGCCTCGGTTCTTCCTTCTTACTGCCATTTCAAAGACAAGAGGCCATGACAGAACCCTGCCCATGTGTTTGAGCTGCGGAAGAGGATTTATATCCCAGGTTAATTTGACTTTGACATACGGCTGTCCAAGTAGGTCTTGGCAGACGTTAAGAGACCTGCTAACATGTTTCCGTTTGAATTTGTAGGTGTACTTCTTATGAGTGGGTTAAATGACAGATAAAACAGGTACAAGGACTAATCGACTTTGAAGACTACTAAAAAAAAGCTATCTAAAAATATAATGAACTAATTTAATCCCAAATGAACGAAGCTGCTTTCTTTGAAGATCTGCATCATTAAGCACAGCCATTACTCAAGACAAAGGAAGACTGAAACCCTGGTCTGTGGTCTTCAGTGTTCATCTTTTGTTTTGCATCGTTCAGACTGACTTCCTCGTAGCTAGATGGGTTTTGTGTTCTATATGAACTAATGTGCACTCTTGATCACCCTAACACTTCAAATTCTCAGGTTACAAACAATGTTATGATGTAACAGGACTATTAGGTTATGGAATAGTATTAAAATGGTATCATTGCAAATTCCAGCAGCTATATCAAATGAACTACTTTTCAACTACTAAAGTACAAGCCACTGAGGTGTCACACTTAGTTTGTGTAGCCTAACACATGATCCTTTTTAATATCTTATCTCACTTTGTGCTCATAACCCTCCATATAGCAGTACAGAAAGTACTGTTTAGTGCTTTTTGTAACAGTAGCTAAAACCGTTCAGACCCTCCAGTCACGTGGAGTACTAAAGAGTAGAAACAGACTCGCACTCTGTTATTGTTTGCTGACAGCTGCAGCAATTCTGGATTCATTTTTTATTGCATAGTAAATGTACACACGGCAACAAGCATGAACACAATTTAATATATATTCAAATAAATATATATATATAAATAATAATAATAAATAAAAACAGCAAAGGGGAACATAAAGAAGCAAAACATTCATACAAGAAGAAAGCAGATACTGCCAAAACATTTTTCCTTCTAATATAATAATGAGACCGAAGAGGCGAGTCTGTTTCAAATCAAAAGTGGGAGCACTTCATAATAAAATAAACGGACAACACTCTAATGATGATCTTTGGAATGAAACGACTGGGTAATTTCAGTAGGTTTACGGAATGCGTAGTTCTGAACGCTACTGACGTCACAATGGGAAATGATACTTTGTTGCGAGGAATGTTCCGATTTAAAATCCGATTCGGAACGTTCGTAAAGGTCCGTCTGACGTCACTGTTACAAAATGTGTTTATCATTGTGCTCCATTATTTATAGTAACGGTAATAGCTATGATAAATATATAGCCTGTTTTTCAGTATCATAATAAAATACATTAAAGAGAAATATTCATGTTAAAGTAAGATTGAACCGGTTTATGCTAATTACTGACATATACAGTATGATGGCTATAAGGCTTTTGTTGTGCGACAGCTGTGACGTCAGAAGCGATTCAACCACGAAGCTGCTTTCTTTGAAGATCTGCATCATTAAGCACAGCCATTACTCAAGACAAAGGAAGACTGAAACCCTGGTCTGTGGTCTTCAGTGTTCATCTTTTGTTTTGCATCGTTCAGACTGACTTCCTCGTAGCTAGATGGGTTTTGTGTTCTATATAAACTAATGTGCACTCTTGATCACCCTAACACTTCAAATTCTCAGGTTACAAACAATGTTATGATGTAACAGGACTATTAGGTTATGGAATAGTATTAAAATGGTATCATTGCAAATTCCAGCAGCTATATCAAATGAACTACTTTTCTACTACTAAAGTACAAGCCACTGAGGTGTCACACTTAGTTTGTGTAGCCTAACACATGATCCTTTTTAATATCTTATCTCACTTTGTGCTCATAACCCTCCATATAGCAGTACAGAAAGTACTGTTTAGTGCTTTTTGTAACAGTAGCTAAAACCGTTCAGACCCTCCAGTCACGTGGAGTACTAAAGAGTAGAAACAGACTCGCACTCTGTTATTGTTTGCTGACAGCTGCAGCAATTCTGGATTCATTTTTTATTGCATAGTAAATGTACACACGGCAACAAGCATGAACACAATTTAATATATATTCAAATAAATATATATATATATATATATATATATAAATAATAATAATAAATAAAAACAGCAAAGGGGAACATAAAGAAGCAAAACATTCATACAAGAAGAAAGCAGATACTGCCAAAACATTTTTCCTTCTAATATAATAATGAGACCGAAGAGGCGAGTCTGTTTCAAATCAAAAGTGGGAGCACTTCATAATAAAATAAACGGACAACACTCTAATGATGATCTTTGGAATGAAACGACTGGGTAATTTCAGTAGGTTTACGGAATGCGTAGTTCTGAACGCTACTGACGTCACAATGGGAAATGATACTTTGTTGCGAGGAATGTTCCGATTTAAAATCCGATTCGGAACGTTCGTAAAGGTCCGTCTGACGTCACTGTTACAAAATGTGTTTATCATTGTGCTCCATTATTTATAGTAACGGTAATAGCTATGATAAATATATAGCCTGTTTTTCAGTATCATAATAAAATACATTAAAGAGAAATATTCATGTTAAAGTAAGATTGAACCGGTTTATGCTAATTACTGACATATACAGTATGATGGCTATAAGGCTTTTGTTGTGCGACAGCTGTGACGTCAGAAGCGATTCAACCACGATGGTCCTCGACTAAACCAGTTCTCTCAAACAAAATATCTTCGCGTGCATCATAAAGAGCCTTTAATCATGACATACCTAGCACATCAGCAGACCTGTGTCGGGCTATGAAGCACGCGTCGTCTCCATAACACATCCCTTTCTTCAAGATCCCCTTCCGAAAATCCTTCCCGAAGCCGAAGCTGGCGGACACCAGGCTGTAATCGCGGCTGTCGGTTTGAGAGAGTCCGCCGATGACCGCCCGGGCCACCAGTCTACCGTACGAGAGAACGGACAGCATCACCCCCGGACTCCGCTGCAGGGGTGGTTTGGGTTAGTTCGACTACTAACAACAGATCCGCGGCTCGAGATGACAATCAGCGACGTTCAAATTCTCGCTGTCTTTATGGATCAGCTCTCCATAGCGATCGATCCGATGCGGTTCAGAACATCCAAGCCGATCCGGGTCTTCTCGCGCTGAGCCCCATCGCTGCGCGCTCCGCTCGCGTGTCTGTTCGTGAGCTGCTGCCGAGGGCCGCGACGCGCGACTGAAGTCTTACGACTGCTTTGACGTCACACGCCGTTACGCAACCCCTGTACCTTTAATAGAGTATATCAAAAAATGCATCTGTCAACTTTATGAGGAATCTAATGATTTTATATGGTAAATTTCATATTCGTAAAAGTAAAAGAAATAGTTCTAAGCCATGTTTGAAGGTCTTTATGACTGATTTTCATTTGTATTTTGAGTCTCTCAAATGTATTGAAAACAAAAAATGTAGAGGTACAATTTTATTCGCTAAAGAGTTGAAGTTACTTGAAAATTGAACGGGTATATGCTGTCTTCTTTTTTTTCTCTCTCTATGTAATGTAAACCCATTACTTTAATTGTGTTATCTTTTTGGATGTCTTGTTAAAGTTGTAAATGTTGCATGTGTCTAATAAAATAAAAAAAAACTTTAATGGAGACCAATGAAAGAGATGTGTTGAAATGCACAGGCCGCAGAGTTCATTTATAAAACAAGACATACCTAGTTACACTTTATAATAAAGTACGTGTACAATTTTCTATCAAATTTCGATATAATGACTAAGAATGTAGCCACTAAGTAAAAAACGAATATATTATATTCACCTATCCTTGGACCTCCACACGTGAGTGTACACAAAATTTCAAAGGTAAAGCATATTTCACAAATATTATATATCCTATATATCGTCATATTAATAAGTGGTTTACAATATTTGTATTTTTGTAGTTATGCACATATAAATGAGCTTGGCCCATGTCTGTTTCTGTTTGTTTAGGTGTTGTCTTGATATTGCAGCTCCTTACTTGGTAAAGTACAAAAAATATTCAGATTGTGTTCTTCATATTTTTTATAGTTTAACACAAATGTGTGATTCAGGATAGGGCATTTAGGTATAATGCATGTGCCAAGAGCTTTTCTCTGAAACAGCTTGTGGTTTCAGTCACATCAGGACACAGTCCGAGAACATGGACTTACAAACCTCTGGTTAAAGGCCAGCTTTTGAAGATCTCAGCTCGTGTCAGTTGAACTTGGCTGAACCACAGATTGTTCAAATACATGCACCGATTCTGATGTTGCTTTTTAACATCATTTACATGCATTTAATTCTAAAGCTGTACAGAGTGATAATTTGGTTATCTGTTGGAAATCTGAACTCTTGGAGTGGTAGTTCATAACTCCCATCTATTTCAAATTGAGTTGTTATGGTGTGTTATGAAACCCTCTATGAATTATGTAAGGCTGTGTCGCCATCTATTGGTCGTACTCGCGCAGTACATGTTAGACAAACAGGATTTATTAGCTACTACATGACTAACTGGAATGTTATTAACTTATTAACTAACTGCGAGGCTTCTCAGGTTTTTTTTCCTGTACAAAAAAAGTCAGTTATGCTGCTTTATATGGCTGCTTTTTATTCCTTATGTTAATGTATTATCATAATCATAAAAATAGTTTGTAGCGCAAATAGCTTTACTGTTTATTGCACCTTGTTATTCTTCTAGTCATTTCAGGAAGACTAATAAATCGGTTGTCTCGCACATTCACAGAAATTAGTTTGCTTCGCATTGCAAAATAAGGTGGATAAGGTTAGTATGTAGCATGTTGTTAACGTTTTTATAACTGATCAATAAAAAAAAGTTGCCTCAATGTATTTTAGATTTTAAAAAAAATCTTAAATGTCTTGTATAGTTTTTGTAAAGGCAGTTTAATATGCTGTTTCTTATGACTCGGTAATGGCAAGCATGTTTCTATGCCAGTCTTTTGATATATATTCTGCATTTTATTCGAAGAGAGAGAGAGAGAGAGAGAGAGAAAACCTTGTCAAAGCACTGTAGAAATCAAGGCCATTCTATGTAATTACTGGATAAAAACTTGTTAACCTGTAATTTTTCACATCTATGAAAGGCCGTGAACTGTTGTGGCTTAAGCAGTGGATGATTGAGGCTATAGGAATTTGTGTTTGTATAGACTGTAATGACTCACTTCAGCAGAATTTTGTGTAAAAATGTACCTTGACTGCCTTTGAGGTTCAGGGTTGTGTTTATAACAATAGGATCGAAGGCCTTGTAAGTAAATTACTCAGGCAGTAGGTGACAGTAAAGACTCATGTTAGCGGTCTCTTTACTCGTGGTTTCTGCACAGCTTGGCGTCAGTGCCACTGAATGTGAGTTTGCAGTCTGCATTGAATGTCTGCGTCTTTCAACTGACTTGTGTTTACAGTGGTGTGAGAAAGTGTTTGCTCCCTAAACCTAATAACAGGTTGGGCCACCCTTAGCAGCAACAACTGCAATCAAGCGTTTGCGATAACTGGCAATGAGTCTGTTACAGCGCTGTGGAGGAATTTTGGTCCACTCATCTATGCAGAATTGTTGTAATTCAGCCACATTGGAGGGTTTTTGAGCATGAACCGCCTTTTTAAGGTCATGCCACAGCATCTCACAGGATTCAGGTCAGGACTTTGACTAGGCCACTCCAAAGTCTTCATTTTGTTTTTCTTCAGCCATTCAGAGGTGGACTTGCTGGTGTGTTTTGGATCATTGTCCTGCTGCAGAACCCAAGTTCGCTTCAGCTTGAGGTCACGAACAGATGGCCGGACATTCGCATGGAGGTGATCAGTTTGTGGCACTGCTGAGGTGGTATGGAAGCCCAGGTTTCTTTGACAGTGGCCTTCAGCTCATCTGCATTTTTTGGTCTCTTGTTTCTCATTTTCCTCTTGACAATAAGCCACATTCCTTGACACGTCTGTGTGTGGTGGCTCTTGATGTCTTGACCCCAGCCTCAGTCCATTCCTTGTGACGTTCACTCAAATTCTTGAATCGATTTGACAATCCTCATAAGGCTGCGGTTCTCTTGGCTGGTTGTGCCTCTTTTTCTTCCACACTTTTTCCTTCCACTCAACTTTCTGTTAACATGCTTGGATACAGCACTCTGTGAACAGCCAGCTTCTTTGGCAATGAATGTTTGTGGCTTACCCTCCTTGTGAAGGGTGTCAATGATTGTCTTCTGGACAACTGTCAGATCAGCAGTCTTCCCCATGATTGTGCATCCTGAACCAAACTGAGAGACCATTTTGAAGGCTCAGGAAACCTTTGCAGGTGTTTTGAGTTGATTAGCTGATTGACATGTCACCATATTCTAATTTGTTGAGATAGTGAATTGGTGGGTTTTTGTTAAATGTGAGCCAAAATCATCACAATTAAAAGAACCAAAGACTTAAACTACTTCAGTCTGTGTGCATTGAATTTATTTAAAACACGAGTTTCACAATTTGAGTTGAATTACTGAAATAAATGAACTTTTCCACGACATTCTAATTTATTGAGATACACCTGTATATAAAAAATTTATTGATTGATTTATTTATTTTTTAAATGCATATGCATGCAGGGTTTGAAAAGTCTATATGTACTGCATCTTTTACTTCAGTAGCTTGTAAAGTCATAAGCTGACAAACAAAGCAGAATCTGTGGAGAAATGGATTTGCAGAGAAGCAGGGCAGATTGTGTTGTTTTAACGGTACTGACAAATTCTTCCTCAAGGTCCCCTTTCCCTCTGGGTCGAACACTTTAAAGGCATTCAGAATGGTTTCCTCTGCATCGGCACCTGTTTTTTAAAACGAGTGCGCAACAGAAAACTGACAAGAGACCTAACTGTCTTTAAAATCCTCCGGAAAGGCAATAAGACATAATTTTTACAGGATTCCTAGTGGACAATTCTGAGCTGATCCTATGGGAATCGTCATACAGGCTCATACAAGAGCTTCCAGAACATATAGTTGCCTAACTATAAGTTCCTTATAGGCCTATTATGATTCCCAGTAGGATCAAATGCTTCTGTAGGACTTCAAAAGGAAATAAAAAATCCCTGTGTGATTTCTTGTCCACTCATGAGACTTTATTCAAAAACGCCTAGAGTTTTGTTTAAATGAAATACAATATACAGGAAGATTTTAAGAATAAAACTCGATTATACATTAAAAATATGTTGTTATGTTTTTGAAAGAATCTCTTATGCTCACCAAGGCTGCATTTATTTTTTTATACAGTAAAAATTTAATTATTTTGAAATATTACAATTTAAAACAACTGTTTTCAGTTGTAATACAGTATATAGTAAAATGTAATTTATTCCTGTGATCAAAGCTGAATTTTCAGCATCATTCCTCCAGTCTTCAGTGTCACATGATCTTCAGAAATCATTCTAATATGCTGATTTGCTCAAGAAACATTTCTGGATATTATCAATGGTGAAAACAGTTGTGCATATATTTGTGAAAATAGTGATACATTTTATTTTTCCGGATTCTTTGATTAATGGAAAGCTCAAAAGAACAGCATTTATTTGAAATAGAATTTACTTGTAACATTATACATGTTTTTACTGTCGCTTTTGATCAATTTAATGCATCGTTGCGGAATAGAATAGTGTTCATTTTTCAAACAAAAATTTTACTGACCCAAAATTTTAATTTGTAGTGTAGATGTAAGTGGCCCTTAATAATAAAAACCTTCATTTAAAAACTGCATGTTGTGTTTACTTGTGTTATCATTGACTAATATTTAAATTTGTTTGATGATCTGAAACATTAAAGTGTGACAAACATGCAAAAAAATAAGAAATCAGGAAGGGGGCCAACACTTTTTCACACCACTGTATATTAAACATGTGAGAACAACGCACAGTGTAGAATGATTCACAAATAAATGACTCGTATGAGCCGGTTCTTTATAGTAAGTCAAAAAACATATAACACCAGCGTAATCAGATTCCTAAATAAATGACTCTTTTGAGCCTGTTCTTTTTAGTGACAAGTGTCATTCTATTCTGAAAAAAAGACTCTTATAAGCTGTTTGTTGTATTGAAAAAATTTAAATTTAATTTAGCTTACGGAGCTGCCAGTGTAATTTATTTCCTGAATAAAAGACTCGTTTGAGCCACTTAATGAAATGCTCAAAAAGACGAGTGAACGGTTTGAATAATTTTCAGAAATTTGGAAATTCTGGACTTTCAAAATGGTGAATCTTGTTGAATTGCTACTCTATTGTAATCATTTGAGCAAGGGTGTAGGTTTGAGTTTGGCATTGGTGGGGATATAACGGCAGACAACAGACATTTAATTGTCCCTACTAAATTCTACGCTCTTGCATTTTACATGATGGCTGTTTCCATATATATATATACATTTATTTGAAATAGAATTTACTTGTAACATTATACATGTTTTTACTGTCGCTTTTGATCAATTTAATGCATCGTTGCGGAATAGAATAGTGTTCATTTTTCAAACAAAAATTTTACTGACCCAAAATTTTAATTTGTAGTGTAGATGTAAGTGGAAAAAAAAAATAATAATAATAATAAAAAAAAAAAAATATATATATATATATAATTAGATTAAAAAATATTAGAATAGTTAAAAAAAGAACTTGAAAGAATGATGAATAAGTTACAGTCAGAAATGTTGGTCTTAAGTTGCTGGATAAATGAAAATAAAATTCCTCCAGGGTTTTCAGATTCTTAGTACCACTTCACCCCACCATTTACCTTTAAGCTTCTCCCCAAACATGGTGAGGAAGACGGTGAAGTTAATGGGTCCTGGAGCCTCCTTTAGCATCTCGTCGAGCTCCTCTTGTTTGACGTTCAGGCGGCCTGCGGAGGCAGAGGTCAGAACTGCTGTCAGAGAGACGCTTCATCCAGCAATGCAGAACGACAGAGATTATAACAGTCCACCTAAAGCTGCGAACGTATCCCTCAGGTCATTCTTGTCGATAAAGCCGTCTCTGTTCTGGTCCATGATTGTGAAAGCCTGAGGCAGATGAAAGAGAGAGAATATAGAGTGTGTGTGAGAGGGATGCAGAATGTAGTCTGATGGTGTTTAAGGTGTATGTCAAAGGTGAAGTGTGTCTGCACCTCTAGTGGCACCGAATGGAATTGCAAAAAATGATAAAAAATTATTCAGACATATTTCCTCATTGCTGAATCAGTAGTTGACGTATATTGTGTTGCTTTAGCCTTTTTGATGTTGATGTATATCATTTTAGTGATCCTTTTGGAAAGCAGCATACGTGCCTTCTGCATTTTGACGAACTTATAATTGAACTTTTGTGGTTGCCGAATGTTTGAAACCATTTAAACATGGGAGGTAGAATACTGATGCGTAGAATTAAAACCGTTTTGTATGCATTTTTTTAAGACTCAATTCGCTTGTTTTCACTACTTTTACTGTAAGTTCAACTAAAAAATTTATAATTTATTTAATTTATTATAATTTATTTACTCACCATCAGGTTGTTTCAAACCTATTTGTGTTTTCTGTGCAATGCTAAAGGACAGTTTTTTTCAAACTAGTGCATCATATTTGCGAGTCAGATTTATTTGAGTATCATAGAGAGTCTATGCTAGTTATTATGAATACATATGTGATTTTTTTATTTATATATTTATTTATATATTTTGTGTTTTCATTTTTGCTAAACTTTTAGTGATTTTGTGTTTGTCATTTTTATAGTTTTTTAATATGCACAATATACAGTTTTTATTTTATTTTTTATTAATGTTTTCTTTTATTATTACAGGTGCATCTCAATAAATTAGAATGTCGTGGAAAAGTTCATTTATTCCAGTAATTCAACTCAAATTGTGAAACTTGTGTAATATATATATATATATATATTTGTGACAGAATCATTTGTTGACATATCATTCCTACAAAATGCGAATGTCATTCATTAGATGAAGTGTTTGTAAATCTGCAGCAACGTTTATCAGATTGAACGTTTCTTCATTTTTGCCCACCATATGTCTCGTCTTATATTCAACATAACACAATATAATGTCACCTCCTGCCTTTCATTCACATAGAATATAAATGTCAATGTGACATACGGCGTTCATACATAAAACAAATAATCTCAGATGTCAAACCTCTTCTAGAGAAAATCGGTCTGCTTGCGTTGTCAACATCTGTGCCAAACTGTGAGGAGAGACAACTTCAGTTTGACCTTTTGATATAATCGAATTACTTCTGGCAAACACTTCAGACACTCCGAAATATTTAGACATGAATTTAAGATTTCAATTACATATAGGATTTCCATCCATTTGGATCACACAGTTTTAATGTAAACTATTAAACCTAAACCTAATATAATGCATACTTTCAGTCATACATAAATGAAACAGGTATGATTTCTGCACTCAAAAACATCACGGCATAGTATATTTGATTTTGAAATCTATTTGATCTCATTTAAATACTCATGTTTTCAAAATGCATTTATTCAGATTGCGTACAATCAGCATAAATGTTCATTGTGAAAATTATATTTATTCAGTTAAAAAGTATTAAAATGGTTAAGATATGGCTAGCTGTGGAACAAGCAATATTCAGTTAAATGTATGATATTGGAACAGTTTGAATTTAATGATGATAAATATATAAACCTGCTTATTCTTTTTTCAAAACCCATTCTATTTATTAGTACTATTAAAGAAATTTGACCTGTTTCATTTATGTCTAACTGAAAATTATATATCAACCTGTGTAAACCAAACGGCTTGAGTTGAATTACTGAAATAAATGAACTTTTCCACGACATTCTAATTTATTAAGATGCTCCTGTATATAGTTATTCATCAAGTTAAACTAAATGAACAATATTTCTTTAGCAACTAGCTGAAATAAAATATTTAAAAAACGTGAAATTATTTATTACAGCTATTTGCCAAGGCAACATTTATCATTTTCATTTAGTAACTTGATGTGCTGTGATTTGAAATAAAAATGAAAATATAAATATTAAAAATGATTATTATTAAATTTAAATATTATTACAATTATTAATATTTTATTTCAGTTTTCAGAAGTTTATGTATGTATGTATGTATGTACACTGAACAAAATTAACAAAAGTGTTGCGTTTATAATTTTGTTCAGTGTATTTATTTATTTTCAAGGTTTTAGTTTTTGTTAGTAACCCCGCTTTGACTCAAAACCAATGACAAGCCATTTTTTATTTTTTTGTTGGCATGGACAGGTTATCTGAATAACGGTTTGCGACTCACACAAAGCTATCAGTTGACTCCAGAAGTCTTGGAATATAATTCTCAAGTCACATGACCTACTGTTATTATATTTTAAGGTACATACATTTTTTTTTTTAGTGTGAAAGTTTAAAAAAATTCTCCATTTGTGTTCCACAGAAAAATAATAAATTGAATATAATATAAAATATAAATATATAATCATAATCACAAATTCATTCTTTTACTCAAGGTCAGACCTCACTGTCATGCTGCTTATTTAGTGTTTTATTTTGCAAAACTCCCTCAGTTGTGTATTTATAGTTCCTGTAATTCCTCTTTACTTGGTGTCTTTGTGTTTGTTTGTGATCTGTGTGAGAGAGAGACAGACTGAAAGAGAGAGAGAGAAAGACGGCTAGCATTTGTCTGCACGTTCTCATCACTGCCATCTCGGATCAGCGTCATGCTTATCCTGTTTGTCGTGATCTTTTCACAGCCGCTTTGAGACCAGAGAGAACGTCTGTCCTGCTGCATTTTCCACGCAAATCTCAGGGCCCTGACAGCAGGTTGGAGTGTGTGTGAGCGAGTGTGTGTTCAGGGTGTAAATCACTCCGCTGTGCTAATCGTTACTGACACATTCTGAATTATTCACTAGCGATGATGAACACTGACATATTGAAGTCACATACGGGAATCTCGCTATAGATGCTCGATATCACAGTGAAAGAGTCACGATAAAGACAATTGTCAGAGCAATTAGAGTCAAACGAGCGCTTGGTTTGTACCTCTTTGAACTCCTGGATCTGTATTTGTTCAAACATGGAGAAGACATTTGAATTGGCTCCTTCTGCCCGCTTCTTTGCCTTTTTGGGTGCCTGCACAGAATAATCACATGTGACTTGCTAAATAGAAGTACGCTTTGACATGCCGTTTCATTGGTGCACTTTATTCCAACATGATTTTAGTTTAGTTTTTTGCCATCTTTCTCCAAAAAGAAGAATAACATGCTTCAAAACCCCTCTGAAACGTCTTTCCTTTTTGGCTGATAATATGAATTTTTACTAGAAAATACACTACTGTTTAAAAGTTTGGAGTCGTTATTTTGGAAAGTGATATATTTTTCCAGCTAGGATGTTTTAAATTGATCTAAAGTGACAGTAAAGACATTTATAATGTTACAAATAATCGCAATTTCATATGAATGCTGTGCTTTTCAACTTTCTATTCATCAAAGAATACTAAAAATAAAATTGTGGTTTCCATAAAAAATGAAGCAGCACAACTGTTTTCAACACTGATAATAATAATAAATGTTCCTTGAGCAGCAAATCAACATATTAGAATGAGTACTGATGCTGAAAATCACAGGAATGAATTGCATTTTAAAATATATTCAAATAGAAAACAGTTCTTTTAAATTAAAATAATATTTCACAATATTACTGTTTTTGCTGTAGTTTTATTCAAACAAATGCATCACTGCATCCTTTCAACAGCATTCACAGACTCCAGACTGTTTAAAGTCTCCTGCAAAAAAGGCTCCCATAAATCTCACACGATGACTCTTAACATTGTCTCAAAGTGTGCTACTAACTCAAATATTTTGAGCTGCTATTCACGTTGATTTGAGCTCTTTTGTGTTTCTGCATTTCTCTTAAGGAGTTTTAGGAGTTGTAGCATCCTCCTCCTGAGGAATGAAGGAGCATCCTCTGAGCAGTGACGTGTTGAGTGTGTGAGAGTGGATTTTTGTATATATTTATTTATTTTTGTGTGTGTATATATATATATATATATATATATATATATATATATATATATACACTGTACACTGTATATATAATTTATATTTGTATATTCATATATAATTTATTAGCACAGTGTGATAGCAGTTGAAAGATTTTTTTTTCTAAAAGGTCACTTGGGTCTTTTTCATATAAAAAAAAGAGAAGACAAAGAAAAACACATTTTGAGTGAAAAGTCTTAATTTGCTCTTGTTGCTCTCTACGAGAAACAGTTGAAACATTATTAAAACGATAAATAGATGAGTCACCTGTCTCCTTTTTTTGATTTTTGGCTAATGAAAATGTTTATATCTATCTTTGAGAACAGAAACAGTTTACTTTTCACGTATTTATTTGTAGAAAGGGAAATGAATAAAACAGAGGCGGATGAGTCAGATGTAAGTGGCTCTGATGAAGCAGACTTAAACTTTAGATTCAAACACAGACAGAAAGAAATCAACTCTTTTTTATTTATTTTTTTGATCTTCGTTTGGACGCATCAAGAGAATATTGAGTAAATGTATGCTGATAATCAAAGACAGAGTTATTGAATTAATAAATGTATGACAAAGCAAACTCACCATAATCGTAACTCTTGAATTCAGAAGACAAAGCACGAGTGATTCCAGACAGGGTGGAAATGCTGATTTTAATATATATAACCTCATTCCCCACCACTGACTGTCTATAAATACATCCTCATGCGCTTAACCAGGTAGCCAACTGTCGACTTCATAAGTTATTATAAGAATCCTGATTAAAGGGGTTTAATGCAGGAGCCAGAGGGCTTCAACTCAGAACAGATGATAGTTGTTGGAATTCAGCTAGAACTTTCCTAAACCTAGAATGTGTGATTGACAGCGCCATTAATGCTGTTTCTCAGTCTTTGTAGGTTCATTATGTGATATTTAGTTCGAAACAAATGGGTTAGAAGCTCAGGTTTTGGATATTTAGACATGTAAGTGTCACTAGCTTCACTATAATTCATCATTTTTGATGTCTCAACGTTTTAGGTCATTTGTGGTGGATGTATCTCCTCGAGTTCACAGAGGAACCTGCAGTGTTATTTTAGTATTTTAAAGGGTTACTCCAGCCCAAAATGAAAATTAATTGTTGAATAAAGTCGTTATTTTTGTTTTATGTGATTAATTATTTGTAATTAATCACTTACCCCCATATTGTTCCAAAACCATAAAAGCTTTGTTCGTCTTCGGAACACAATTTAAGATATTTTAAATGAAAACCCGGGAGGCTTGTGACTGTCCCATTGACTGCAAAGTAAATTACACTGTCAAGACCCAGAAAAGTATGAAAGACATCGTCAGAATAGTCCATCTGCCGTCAGTGGTTCAACCGTAACTTTATGAAACGACGAGAATACTTTTTGTACGTGAATAAAACAAAAATAAGGACTTTATTCAACAATTCGTCTCCTCTGTGTCTCTCCGCATCACCGTAGCACCATTTTGGAGAATATCCGCTGAATGCAAGCAGCGTACGCTACTCTGTGTCAGCCGCGACACAAAGATACATTTTCTATGTGTAGAGGAGACACAGAGGAGACGAATTGTTGAATAAAGTCATTATTTTTGTTTTCTTCGCATGCAAAAAGTATTCTCAAAAAGTATTCTCGTCGTTTCATAACGTTACGGTTGAACCACTGACGGCAGATGGACTATTCTGACGATGTCTTTCATACTTTTCTGGGTCTTGACAGTGTAGTTTACTTTGCAGTCAATGGGACAGTCACAAGCCTCCCGGTTTTCATTTAAAATATCTTAAATTGTGTTCCGAAGACGAACAAAGCTTTTACGCTTAAACATTTTCATTTTGGGCTGGAGTAACCCTTTAAGCAGTTTAGTATACTTTATAAATTTTATATATACTCCGAAGACGAACAAAGCTGATTAATGACAACATTTTCATTTTGGGCTGGAGTAACCCTTTAAGCAGTTTAGTATACTTTATCAATTTTATATATACTTTTTTTTATTTATATTTAATATTTTGAATTAGTTTTTATATTTATATTTTTTATTTATGCTTTATAATTCATTTTAATGTTTTAGTACTTTGAATGTACTTTTTTTTGGTCATTTTTATTATTACTTTTTCCAAATATTACTAGTTTTATTAATTTTTATTTCAGTTTTAGTTATTTACATAGTTCAACTAAATGAAAATGAGAAATGTTGCTTTGGCAACTAGCTAAAATAAATTGATTATTTATGGTATTTTTATATTTTATTTCATTTATATCAGGTATTTCAAGTAATTTGAATGGTTTTAGTTTTACAGTAGTTAAATATAATAACTAGTGTTTTTGTTAATTAATTTTTTTTGTCTCTAGTTTTTATTCAAGTTTATTTCAGTTTTAACTTAATTAAAACTTTATTAAAGTTTTATGAAAATTATAATAACTCTGGTGTAGAGAATGTAATGTAATCAGTGTAATCCACTAATATTAAAACAGTGTCTTCACGAATGCCTTTAAAACATGAAAGGATAATTTAGTCCAGTCGATGTTATCAGGAGGGAGGAACACGACCTCTGCTTGACCTCTCATACTCAAACCCTGCAGTATGCACTAAAATTAGATTATACTACTACACCTTTGGTGGCAATTTGTCATGATGGATAAGCTGTGTTGGCATCGGGAAAGACCGTTTACCCTTCCAAAGATGATTATGTGGTCAATTACAACTCAAACAGCATTGCTTTAGTGGAAGCAACATAGAAGAATATTTTCTCTGAAGGTTTTGGTGCTGTTCCTGGACAAGCACGCATTTAGTGGGCAGTTGGCAGAATAATGTTCACTTGTTTCAGTAGACGCAAACTCTCACGTTCAACCTTTCCAGCCACCTGGTGGCAGTCTCAACAAGCTTCTGTTTCAAGGCCTTTTGCACTCCAGAGTCAATCAATATATCAGAGTTCAGCAGCTCTCGTCAATATTCCTGGAATGATATTGCCAAGCGTAGTCAAACATTCATGTGTATCTAGGCCACTGCGTTCCCGCCGTCAATCCACACGCACTCATCTGATGAGATCTAATGGCTGCTTCACCTCTTTTTGTGTTTAGCATTCATTTTCGTTCCACATTATTAGTATTGCTGTTTTTAAGTCTCAAATATTACATGATATTTTTCTACAAAACCCTTAGAAACAATCTCACAGCTTGCACTGCTGCCCACAGAGGTTCGTAAAAATCTCCCACTGGTTTTTGCACCCTGAAAATATCCGCATATTTAGATTTGAACAAAAGTAATAAGTGTTGCTGCATCAGGCTTGTATATCAGAACTGATTTAAATTTCAAATTTAACAGTGAGCCATATCAAAACAAGATATATTATTCCTTTCTTATAAGACCGATGCTGTTTTTTTCCCCCCCTGAAGCAATAAATAAAAAGCAATAAAACAGAAACTTTTAATAAGCACCTTTTATATTCCCCGTAGGTGGCTTACAAACTGCAAATACGTTTCTACTTAAAAATAGACTTGCGTTTGGTTTTAATAGCGAAGAGGAGAATGACAGATGTGCTCACTTAGTAATTGCTCGCAGTCCTCAAGCCACCGGAGCAGTTTAACCTCTTAAACGCTTTTATTTCAAGACATTATTATACTGATATCAGTAATCCGGAGCATTTCGGATACGCAAGTCAAACTGCTTTTTCTAAAGATGAAAATAAATCCATAGACTTTTTGTAATCGCCTGAATATAGTTTACCAAATGGCTGGCTCTGTTCAAATTTCCATTTTCGACGCTTTTCGAAAAAGAACTGCAGCTAGTCATTATGCACAATGTGATAATGAAACTTCCTTACAGGGAAAGGCCACAATGGTGTGATGTGTTATTTTAAGGGGAATCTCGGCTCTGTGTGGTCATCTTTATGTTACACCAATATTATAATGATAAAGATGCCATTTGGACAGTGTGTGCTATATTTAAAGCTACTAATGTCAGAATATAGTCCTCTTTAGAAGGGCCACTCAGCTCGGTCCAGTAGAAACGTCCTGTTCCACAAGAGGGAGCACGTGTTAACGTTTGAACACAACTGTCCATTCAGAATTTCAAATCATGCATTGATCGCACAATCAACCCAATAATGACATTTATGCTTTTTTCTTTTTATGAGTTTTTTTTTTATTCAACCGTCTTCAGACATAGAGCAAAAGAGCTTTTGCAATATAAAAAGACACACCTTATGCATTTGCTCGCGTTAACAAACTCTGAGTGTTGTAGATAAATAACTATGAAATATTCCTGGTGTTTTTTTTTTTATAAATGCACACATTGCTGCGCCGCGCATCTCTTTATTTAACTATTTAGTGCATGGACTAAACTTATACTTTTCGTGCATTGTATGCTTTAGCACGTTTAACTTTTGTTTCTGATGTTACCGTTCACATCTTCTGCTAAAATATTGTTATAAAAGCCCAATAAGTGTTTTAGCACTATTTTATCACGTTTATCTCCGTGCACTTCATTATTCAAGGACACTATCAAAATCCACATTCACTCTTTTCACTTCAAACACAGAAGCTTTCACCCACTCACTGTTTATTCTATTCGCGCGACTCTTTCGCTGCATTTATGGCACGCATTACGCATTATTGACCTAAAGTTGCAAATCTCATTATGTGGGGCTCATTAATGATATGTAACGATTTCGCCGCTTTACGCATCAAACATCTGGCGATGCGCATTGGTCGCTCGTTGTTCTCCTTCCACTTCCCAGACGTTATTGATCAAGCCGTTACGTCAGTATTGATAACTTTACCAAACCCAAAATCAAGTGCAATCCCTGGAGCAGCACTAATGCATCTATATGCATCTATATTCTGTTCATATCGCATCCACCGGCTCTGGCGCGCTGCGCGTCCCGTCTAGTTCTCCGCAACTGTTATTTTCCTAACATTTTTTTTCCATGTGGAGTGTAATCGTCAACGCTGTTTAACGGGGGGAATCCAGCCCATATATTTATTGTAGCCGCTCTTGAATATTGTGCTCAAGATGGCCGCCGATGTGGGATCGATGTTTCAATATTGGAAGAAATTTGATCTCCGGCGGCTTCAGGTTGGTCTTATTTCTCAGCTTTTTTACACGACGCGATCCTATACGCGATAATGCACCTTGCATTTCATGCATTTTCTCTTTTGGTGACTTTAGAGGGTCGGGATGGTGGTGTTGCATTGATAGTTATTAGTAATTGATCCTCTTCTGCCTTTTGTTCGGTTCAATCATCGATCAGGAGCGCGTAAGAGCAGCGGCTGCAGCCTCGCGCGCACTGACGCGCTTTAACAGCACGTTTGAAGGCTATTTTAACGCTTCGGTCGCGAGCTCTGCTGGAAACGGAAACTTTTAATGCCTTTCCGAGTTGTGGACTTTAACTTTTGATCAGCCTAATGTGTTTTATTCTAATAGAAAGACGGAACGGTGACGGCTCGTTCTGTAAAGTGCCGGTTTGTGATTCACCTCAGACTTTATAAAGCTAACAACTCGTGTATTTTAGACCTTTAATGTTGAATATGTTTATCCATCTCTCGCGTTTTGACTTTATTAGTGTGCTTCAGTTATTATGAATGGGAGCGTAATGAACGTGGCACCGTCAGAGTTTCTGTTTAGGAAAGTTGATGTATTTATTATTAACGTCTTCATTTATTACGACAACTTAATAGTGCTTAACTAAGTAGTGAGTATTCGTGTTATAAAATGTCAGGTTGATGTATGCATATTTACTTGAATATGCTCATGTGTTAACGTTATGCCTTGCATGTAGTCTTGGTAAGCTGTGCACATTGTAATTCATTAACAATAGAAAAAAATGCGCTTTATTTTCAAATACGATCGATTAAGATGTAAATTTAGGACCGACTCTGTTTAAAGATCAACATTTATCCTTGCTGATGGTGTGGGTATTATACTGCTTTGGCTGTAAGGTTCAATGTCAAAAAATGAATGTCCAGTATGGTTAAAATAAAAAAATCTTTGAAAAATCTAATTTTAAACATATAGGTGATGCTTTTAAAAACTTTTTTTTTAAATACATTTTATTACTTTAAACAGGTGGTGTAAAAATGTTTCATTTTTACATATTTTTTTGTATTCGATTATTCTATAGCAGAAAATATGTTTGAATATTTAAATGAAAAAAAAAAAATCATTGACCCCTTGCTATTGTTAGTATTTTCATGTCCAGTGTTGCTGGACACAATAGCCACTCTGGATCAGCCTGTCGTATTTAAACACACACTCCGGTTTCGTTCCAACCGCAGTGTGTACACTCCATCCACACCGCTTGTGACGCGTCAAACCCAGAACGCTCGCTGACTGTTCTCGGACTGCGTAATTGCATTCCCTGCTAATGTTTGTAAATCAGCCTCGGCCAGCGCAAGGGCACAGACTCAGCCCTATGATTGATGTTCTGTAACATAAGAAATGACAAGAGCATGCCAAGCCAAGCCGGAGAGGAATCAGATCTGTCTGCGTGCGTGTGTGTTTGTGTGTGTGGCCGATTGTTATTCAAGCCTTTCCAAAGAAGAGCTCCTTGCATATGCTGTTGTTGGAGGGTCTCTCTCATGTTTTTGGTTTGTTCTGAGTACAGGCAGACGGCAACGTCCATACTGAGGTTATCCAAACCCTGAACCCGTTCATGGACAGGGAGAGCAAACATGTTTTCATGGAGAGCTCATCTGGACAAATATCAGATGGTTATTGTCGGGACTGTGCTCTGAATGTTTCTGCTAGGATGATAAATCAAAACGCTCTTCATAAGAGTAACCAGACTGAGGAGATTAAACGTTAAAGTGTAAGAATAAGTCATTGACAAACACATCGATCGATTGCTAATCTGAATATTGAACATTTGTATGGCGAGGAGTCACGTCCCTCACTTTGTCTACGGTGGCCTTAAGAGGACCGGACAGAGAGGTTTTGTGAATTAGTTGATCTTTTTGTTTTAAATACTGAGCATGTTGTTAAATGACAGCTCTTTTCATTGACATTATTTAATCAGCTTTGAGTTAAAACAGTCATCATGAAAAGCCGCACCAGTGGTGAGTGCACAGTGCTGTGTTTTATTTCCCATGAATCCGCTGGGCTCGATATATGAATCACACACACTTGCACATCAGAGTTTTTCTTTGTTTCTGGAGTTAGTCTAGGTCACACCTGGTTCAGGTTATTGATGTGCTCACCTGCAGTCTGTGACAGTTCAAGTCGTATTTAATGCGACGTGAATGCAGCCGCCGAATGCTTCCACAGCATCTTTCATCTCAAAACAGACTCGCATGTGGGTGGAAGCGAAAGAATATTGTGTTATTGAACCTTTTGTGGCCAATTCCACATCCAGTACGTGATTTTAGTTTGTAGAAGCTATTTATTGAGACCTAATGCATGTGAGAAAGCAAAAATGTTTACACAATCCTAATGTACACCGTTTATGCAGTTTTATGTGTAAATATGTGCCGTATAAGAGTTACATTAGTCATTTGTCCCATTCCATATGGATGCATTTTGCAGATTGCATTGATCGTGTTTAAAACGCTTAAAAAGCGTGTTGATTAATTGGTTTCAAGTCAGGTGAAGCTGTTTGCTCACAAAACATCCAACTGCAAGTTATTTTGCCTCATGTTGCAACAGAGTATGAACAAAACCAAAGCTATAAATATGAAATTCAGAGGAAATATAATTTTTGTTTGTTGTTTTGTAAGTTTGTTGTTATCTGGTGCGCATGTATACTTCAATTTTATTGTCATTTAACAGTTGTATTAGCCATTTTTTCCTATTCCATATGGTTCTATTGCATTTTGCAGATTGCGCTGATTATGTTTTAAAACTAAATATGCATTGGGTTGCAAGTCATAAAATGCACATAGATGTTATTTATGGAGCTGTTTGCTCACAAAATACACACCTGAAAGTTATTCTTCCTCACGTTACAACAGAAGAAAATCTATAAATATGAATTCAGTGGAAGCAGTGTCAGCTCACATTAAGTCTGTAGTCTTGAGAGTTGCTAGGTTTGTTGTTATCTGCTGCACATGCATGTTTTGGACATGTTAACTTTTAAACATGAATGAAATTTCTTTTTTTTTTGAGAAAGTATGTGTCGTTAATGAGTTGCATTAGCCATTTTTCCCATTTCACATGGGTATCTTCTATTTTTCAGATTGCACCGATTAGTTTAAAACTCTTCAAAATGCATTGATTAATGGTTTGCAAGTCATAAAATGCACATAGATACATATGAAACTGTTTTCTCAACATCTGCCTAAAAGTTCTTCTTCAGGTTACAACAGAGGAAAAACTATGAAATTCAGAGGAAGCACTGTCAGCTCACATTAAGTCTGTAGTCTTGAGAGTTGTTATCTGATGTGCATGCATATTTTGGACATGTTAACTCTTTATATAGTTGAGGATTCATTTAACAGGTGCGTTAGCCATTTCTCCCCATTCCCTATGGATGCATTTTGCACTGATGATTAAAAATGCATTGCTTAATGAATTGCAAGACCACAAGTTAGGCATGAAATGTGCATAGATGTTACTTATGAAGCTGTTCATCCACTGAAATTTGTTTTCCCTCATGTTACAACAGAGTATGAACAGAAGCAAAGCTATAAATATGAAATTAAGAGCAGCTTTCATTAAGTATGTAGTCGTTAGAGTTAAGTTTGTTGTTATCTGGTGCACATGCACATTTTGGACATGTTAACTTTTTAAATATTCAGGAGACATCGCTGTTAACTCATTTCTGAATCTAGTCCGACGCTGTTTATTGCATGCTGTGACGGTCTTTGCTATTCTCCCGTGTGGCCCCTGCGGGACGTCGTGTCCACAGCGTCCCCCGAGGGCCCCTCCCCCACTCTTGAACTTGGAATCCTGCAAGATCTATATATTGAGACGGGTAAAAAAGAAAAGATGGAAAATATTCAGCACATCTGTTGCAGCACCTTTAATGTGTTTAAAACTTCAGGTGTATTAAAGGTTCGAGTTCAAACGCTTTTCCCCGGAAGATGGTTTTTACCCCAGACCCCCCTGAACGGAGCGCGACTGCTTGTATTGACCAGCGGACGAACAAGTTCAGGAGAGGGGGGGATCTGCGGCTGACAGTTGATTTATGACCCTCTTTGTCTGTGTTGGTCTGTAGCGGAGCATCTGGCTGTGTCAGATGATGTTTTCGCTGGGGTCTGTGGCTTATGGCTGTCACTTTGGTTGCACTCAAATTACATCATTTCATACAGCAGTTCCTGTATTGCTATTAATCCTCAGAGGTGTTTCAGTGATATTCCCTCGTGAACGAGCCTTGTGTTGCGGTCTCATTGGGAATTCTTCATGAGAGGGAATATTTGACATCTTCCTGTCTTGAAATGAGGCGTAGCGATAAGGGTTTAAATGGAAAAATGAGCATCATGCATGTGGTAATATGAGAAATTGTGGTAACACTTTACAATAAGTTTTCATTTGTTACCTATAGTATATTTAATGCATTAACTAACATTACCAATGAGCAATACATGTGTTTATTAATCTTTGTTAACATTAGTTAATAAAAATACAACTGTTCGTTGTTAGTTAATTTTAGCTCAGGTCCATTAAATAACATTAATAGATATAAGTGTTCATTTTAAATGTTGGAATCAACATTAACTAAGATTATCAAATGCTTTTTTCATTGTTAGTTTGTTAACTAATGTAGTCAACTCATTTTTACAAATGGAACCTTATTATGTTACTGAAACGGTTTTGGAAATAGGGTTGTTATAGTTTTTGTTATAGTTGTTTTTTTATATATTTTAATATTTTTATTATAATTTCTAATATAAAAATAGTAATAAAAGTAATAATTCTAGTAATAACAATAACCATAATGATATATATAATTATTAATACTTAAAAAAAAAAAATTTTATGTTATAAGTGTGTTTATATAGAGAAACAAAATCTAGATAAAAATAAATATATATATATAAAGATATTTATATATATATATATATATATATACACAAAACGTTTGACCTCTGTCATTGCCAACAAAGGGTATATAACAAAGTATTGAGATGAAATTTTGTTAT